GATGTGAAGTTTCCCAACACGCATTGGGGCAGAGCGACGGACATTTCCTTGCCCTAAAATCCCTCTCAGAAATGAGTGGAGGCCTGTGCCCAGCAGTGGGACGTATTTAGACTGTAACTTTAACAAACTTTATTAAACAATTATATTTTATATTTTAAATTTGGAATAGGGCAACGGAACCCAAGGGGCCAGCAGCTGGCCGACTTCATGGAGAAAGAGGGACTCTTTATGATGAACTCTTTCTTCCAGAAGCGGCCCCACAGGAAGTGGACCTGGTCGAGCCCCGACGATCCGACAAAAAATGAGATTGACTTCATTATGACGACCAGACGATAACTGTTCAGTGATGTCTCCGTGATCGCGAGGGTGAAAACTGGTAGCGATCACCGAATGGTTAGAGGCACACTGAACCTAAACGTTAAGTTGGAGAGGTCTCGTCTAATGAAGTCAACGCTCCGTCCCCCTCATGCTCTGTTCCAAAGTCCCGAAACCTTTCAGCTCGAGTTACAAAACCGTTTTCGGTGCCTAGGAGACTGCAATGAAGTGGACTATATGAATGACAAGCTCGTGGAAACTGTCCATGCGGTCGGAGCTAAGTTCTGCAAGACCCGCCGCAGAAGCACACAAAAACTGTCCGATAACACTCTTAATCTCATGGCTGTTAGACGGGAGATGAGACAGAATGTGGCAGCATCGTTTCCGGGACACCTGAGATTTTGAGTGAGATTGAGAGGTTCTATGGGCAGCTGTACACGGCATCGTTGGAGCCACACGCAAGTGTGAGGAACGATCCAAGAGCGAGTCTCATCCGACACTATTCCGAAGATATCCCGGACGTCAGTCTGAGCGAGATTAGAATGGCTCTCCAGCACCTTAAAAACGGTAAGGCCCCAGGCGAGGATGGAATTACAGCGGAGCTTCTGAAAGCGGGTGGAAAACCTGTACTTGAAGTCCTTCAGAAGCTCTTTAATTCCGTCCTCCATGGTGGCATTATACCGGAGGCGTGGAGCAGAAGTGCGGTGGTCTTGTTCTTCAAGAAAGGTGACAAAGCTCTCTTGAAGAAATACAGACCGATTTCCCTTCTGAGCCGCGTCTACGTGCTGTTTTCGAGAGTCATTACAAATCGTCTCGCGCGCAGACTTGACGACTTCCAGCCTCCCGAACAAGCCGGTTTCTGAAAGGGCTTTAGCACCATAGACCACATACATACCCTTCAGCAAATTGTACAGAAGTCCGAAGAGTACAATTTGCCACTATGTCTGGCGTATGTGGACTATGAGAAAGCCTTTGATTCCGTCGAAATTTGGGCGGTGCTGCAGTCCCTTCAGCGGTGCCAAGTTGACTGTCGGTATATCGAAGTGTTGAAGTGCTTGTACAGTAGGGCTACGATGGATATGATATGATGGATTGTCTACAAAAGTGATTAAATACACCAAGGAAGTAATAGCCCCACCATTAGCACATATAATTAACTTAAGTATTACTGATGGCATATTTCCAAAAAAATTGAAAAAAGTTATTATTAAACCCCTATTTAAAAAAGATGACAAAACAGATTTAAAAAATTACAGACCTATTGCAAAAATTCCTATATTCTCAAAAGTTTTTGAAAAAGTAATTTATAACTCTAACACCTATTTCGAAAAGTATAAATTATTTTGTACAGAGCAAAAGGGGTTTCGAAAAAATACTAATATCAATGTGGCACTGTATGACTTACTAGCTAATATTATGACATCTGTAGATAAGAGAAATCCAGTCTGTGCCATTTATACTGACATGACCAAGGCTTTTGATTATGTGGACCACAAGATCTTGTTAAACAAATTACATGGTTATGGTATAAGAGGAAATATTCTTCAGCTCTTAGAATCCTACCTAAGTAATAGAATCCAATGCACAGAAATTTCTAGAATATGTCCAAAGAGTAAATTAGAAAATACATATTTATCGAAACCAAGGCACATCAAATACGGGGTTCCACAAGGTAGCGTACTAGGGCCACTACTCTTTTTAATATATATAAACGATCTACCAAAAATAACGTCACACAAAATGGTTCTCTTTGCAGATAACAGTACAGCTATAATAAAGTGTGCAAATGAAATTAATTATGAAAGTGATATAAATACCTGTTTACGCAAAATTATAGAGTGGCTTAATAATAATAATATAAAAATAAATTTAAATAAAACAAAAGTTATGCACTTCCATCAACGCCGTGAAAACCCAAACATTAACATTTCCTACCAAGGCTTTAATATTGAAGAAGCAAATATGGCGAAGTTTTTAGGTATAGTGATTGATAATCATCTCACTTGGAAGCCTCATGTTGAGGATCTATGCAAACGACTCAGCAAATCCGCATATGCGCTTTCTCAACTTTCAAAAAAGGTTAACAGAATTTGTGGCTATCCGAGTACAGAACCAGAGTACGAAACCTATCCAATTGCAGAGAGGTGTAAGACAGGGTGACGTCATATCCCCGAAACTCTTCACCGCTGCATTGGAGGACGTTTTCAAGCTTCTGGACTGGAAAAGATACGGTATAAACATCAATGGCGAGTACATCACTCACCTTCGATTTGCCGACGATATAGTCCTTATGGCAGAATCGCTGGAGGACCTAAGCACTATGCTCAATGACCTCGATAGTGTTTCCCAACGGAGAGGTCTTAAGATGAACATGGACAAAACAAAGATCATGTTCAATGTCCATGTCACACCTATGCCGGTAGTTGTTGGGAGCACTAAGCTCGAAGTTGTTGACGAGTATGTTTACCTAGGACAAATAGTCCGACTAGGTAAGTCCAACTTCGACCGAGAGGTCAATCGACGGATTCAACTCGGCTGGGCAGCGTTCGGGAAGCTACGACACATCTTCTCGTCAGACATACCTCAAAACCTGAAAACGAAATTGTACAACCAGTGCGTGTTGCCACTACGCACTGGTTGTACAGTCTCGTTTTCAAGTTTTAAAAAATACCTGACGAGAAGCTTTGCCGTAATTTCCCAAACGCTACCCAGCCGAGTTGAATTTTAATTGAAATGAATTATACAACTGTATGTATGTCGTGTGTTTTTTCCAACAACCTACGTACACCCGTACCATTTCTCTCAGGTCACTTTGTCCTCTGCAATGGTTGCCTGGTAGAGATCGCTTATAAGCGAGAAGGCCGCCAATTGTACCTTTAAATAATTTATGTTTTTTTTTGAATGAGTCGCTCGCGTCCGTAGGCTTCGACCACCTAATCCTAGGCCCACCCTACACGTGTCCCCCGGGTGGTGCTAAACGAGCGACAAAGCCGAAAGATTTGACTCGGCTCCTCGCCGTGTGGTAGCGGCGTAATGATAGAGTATCTCTCGAAATGCTAAGGGCTGGAGAAGGAGTGGTGGCAGACCTGCTGTACACCTTGTTTAATTTATGTTGGGAACTTAAGCGGGTACCGGGAGACTGGTGCAAAGCCGTGATAGTCCCAATATATAAGGGAAAAGGATCACAGCAGGTGTAAGACAGGGTGACGTCATATCCCCGAAACTCTTCACCGCTGCATTGGAGGACGTTTTCAAGCTTCTGGACTGGAAAAGATACGGTATAAACATCAATGGCGAGTACATCACTCACCTTCGATTTGCCGACGATATAGTCCTTATGGCAGAATCGCTGGAGGACCTAAGCACTATGCTCAATGACCTCGATAGTGTTTCCCAACGGATAGGTCTTAAGATGAACATGGACAAAACAAAGATCATGTTCAATGTCCATGTCACACCTATGCCGGTAGTTGTTGGGAGCACTAAGCTCGAAGTTGTTGACGAGTATGTTTACCTGGGACAAATAGTCCGACTAGGTAAGTCCAACTTCCAGTTGCTAGAGGCGGTGGTATCGGCTCTCTTCCCTGAGCGAGTGGGACACGTTCCCCCGGCGATGGCTTCGCCCTCAGCCACAGACTCTCCAGAAGAGGAGAGCACCGATGTCCCCGAGGTGACGCAAACAGAGACGAGAGCGGCCGTGTCGCGACTCCGGGCTAAGAACACAGCGCCCGGACCCGACGGAGTTCCTGGTCGAGCTCTCGTCCTGGCTCTGAAGGAGCTAGAGCCCCAGCTGAGAGGGCTCTTCACGGCATGTCTCGAGCAGGGTCAGTTTCCCAGTGTATGGAAGGAGGGGAGGCTGGTCCTGCTCAGGAAGGAGGGGCGCCCCGCGGACTCACCGTCCGCGTACCGGCCCATAGTGCTGCTCGACGAGGCGGGCAAACTTCTTGAGCGCATCATCGCAGATCGCCTCGTCAGCCACTTGTGCAGAGAGGGGCCGGACCTGGACGAGAACCAGTTTGGTTTTCGTCGCGGGCGCTCCACCATAGACGTATGGAGAATAAGGTTATGCAAATAAGGTACCTGATGGTAAGTCCGTCGCCGGAATAAACAAGTAGATTACGGTTAGACAGTTATATATTTCACGGCACAACACATAGAAACAGTCTCACATGAAGAAGCAGAAGGCGATAGATGAGATTACAAATAGATGAGAGATAATAGCAGGAAGCACAGTTTACAGTCACTTGCATAAAATAGGAAAGAACACTCAAATAATATTAGTTATGCGTAAGGGCAAAGTTCGGCGTAGGCGCAAGCGGCACAGTATTGACGTCAGACGATTAGATCGCGACTGGCTGGTCGTTGAACATATCGCGACGTAGGCAAAGTACTCAGGTACAGATAATAATTAAAAGGAATGTCTGTTTCCAATGTACTTCGACCGGCCGGCACCGAGAATTATACTATAATACAATACTTAAATAAAATTTACTATAATAAATAGAAATAGTATAATATATATGTGTGTGTGACTGTAATTGTATTATAGATAAATATAAATATAATAAATATTATAATATTAATATTAAATTATATACATACATATCTGTGAAATAATAGTCATATCTTTAAATAAAATAAATAAATGTGTGCGTCGCCACATCACTCCCCTCCAGAGACCGTGTCTACGGGCGATAATAATCTGGGAAATGTACTCTGCGCCCAGAACGAGTTGTTTTGCACGCAGTTGTTGACGATGGGCTGCTATTTGGAAGTGGAGTGGGTGTGGGATTAGGAGTTGGTTTAAGTGGTGGAGAAGGAGTTGGAGTGGGATCATTGGAGTGGGACAGTATGTAGGCTGGTTTCAGTCGGTCTATCGATACTGTCACGACTTTGCCCTTTACTCTGATTTTAAAAGTTTTTTTATTTCTCTCAACCACCTCGTGAGGACCAGTATATGCTGGTTGTAAGGCACCTCTCAAACTATCTTCTCTGAGGAAAATATGCGAACAAGATGTTAGATCTTTATAAATAAAGATTTTGTTTTTCGCATGGTGCGAAGTTGGCACTGGCTGTAACTTATTGGCAAATGATCTGATACGGGCTGAAAAGTCCGTTATGTCAGTCGTACATTTGTCAACTTTGTGGCCAAAAAATTCACCAGGAAGTCGCAATGGCTCGCCGTATACTAACTCGGCTGAGGAAGACTGAAGATCTTCTTTGAAAGAGCTTCTTATGCCGAGAAGCACAATTGGCAAAGCTTCAGTCCAACTGCTATCGGCATGGCACATGATTGCTGTTTTTAATTGCCGATGAAATCTTTCGACGAGACCATTGCATTGAGGGTGATAGCTGGTAGTCCTGCGGTGCTTAAAACCAATGAACCTTGATAACTGCGCGAATAGTGCTGATTCGAATTGCCTACCGCGATCGGTAACAATATCGGTAGGGCAACCGAACCGCGCTATCCATCCCGATAAAAACGCTTTAGCCACTGATTCCGCGGTGATATCCTTTAGTGGTACAGCTTCAGTCCATCGCGTGAAGCGATCGACAGCTGTTAAACAGTACCGATAATCACCAGACGGAGGTAAAGGTCCGATAAGGTCTAAATGGACGTATTTGAATCGCGCCGTAGGTAAATCGAGCGTACCAAAAGGCGTCGAAACGTGTCGATTTACCTTTGTGCGCTGGCATGCCAAACACGCCTTAGACCATTCGCGGCAGTCTTTCCTCATCAGTGGCCAGACAAAGCGTTCTGCCACAAGTTTTGCGCTAGCGTTAGCGCCGGGATGGCTTAGCGAGTGCAAGCTATCAAAAATTCGCTTACGTAAGGCTTTAGGGACTAAAGGCCTGGGAGTCGTTGTGCTGACGTCGCAGTACAGTTCATTGCGACTACCAGGTATCTTTATTCTTTGAACTTGTAAGGAAGTGTCCTGCCTTAACAAATCTGCAAATTCAGGATCGGAGTCTTGAGCCTTGGCAATGACATCTAGATCTACAGGGCTTAGCAGTTCATCGACCTGCTCAACCCGGGAAAGCGTGTCAGCAACGACATTATCTTTCCCGGCGATGTGTTGTATGTCGGTTGAGAACTGTGATATGTAGTCTAGATGTCTAAATTGCCGTGGACTGCAATTTGCCTTTCGTTCGCGAAATGCAAAGCACAGCGGCTTATGGTCGGTATAGATGGTGAATGGTGTTGCCTCTAGCCAATGTCTAAAGTACTTAATGCTCTCGTAAACAGCAAGGAGCTCCCTATCGTATGGTGAGTATTTCCTTTGCGACGGGCTCAATTTACGAGAGAAAAAAGCTAGGGGCTGCCAATCACCACCAATTTGCTGTTGCAAGACTCCACCTATTGCAAGATCAGAAGCGTCAGTTACAAGACCTAGCTTTGCCTTTGAGTCAGGATGTGCCAACAATGCTGCATTGCATAAACTTTCCTTGCACTCTTCGAAGGCTTTCAACGAGTCTCCATTTAAATTGACCGGATGCGATGCTTTAACAGCGCCAGTCAATAAGGCGTTCAAGGGTGCTTGGATTTTGGCAGCTTGGGGGATAAACCTCCTATAAAAGTTTATCATGCCCAAGAACCTCCTAAGCTGTTTGGCTGTCTTAGGAACAGGGTACTCCTTTATAGCCTGAACTTTACCTTCCAGAGGTTTCGTTCCATGTTGTGAGATGTTGTAGCCTAGAAATGTTACCTCTGATGCACCGAAAACGCATTTAGCGGTGTTGATGAGCATGCCATAATCCTTCATCCTTGTAAATACTTGACGAAGGTGCTTTTCATGCTCTAACTCATCGCGTGAAAATATAAGAAAATCGTCAAGGTATGGGTAACAAAAATCTAGACCACGGGTCATCTCATCAACGAACCTCTGGAACGTCTGACTAGCTCCGCGCAATCCGAAAGTCATATATGGGAACTCGAAGAGTCCAAAAGGTGTCGTAATGGCGGATTTGGGAATATCTGCCTCAAAGATTGGTATCTGGTTATACGCCTTCACCAGATCTATGGTTGAAAAAATTTTGCAACCAGATAAATTGTGGGCAAAGTCATGTATGTGTCGGATAGGGTACTTATCTGGCACTGTCCGGGCGTTGAGCATGCGATAATCACCGCATGGTCGCCAACCATTGTCCTTTTTGGGAGCGAGGTGTAGTGGTGACGACCAGGGGCTCTGGGAAGGTCGAGCAGTTCCATTTGCCAACATTGCCTCGAACTCGAGCTTAGCAATTTTCAGCTTGTCCGGGGCGAGTCTGCGTGGTGTACACGATACTGGAGGGCCTGGCGTGGTACGGATGTGATGTACTGTGTGATGCTTGGGTGTGCGATGAGCGCCTGCCGGTCGTGTCAGTTCTGGAAATTCAGAAAGTATTTTATGAAATTTAGAATCACCAGTCACGACCTTTACACTCAAAATATGGCTATCGCTAGAAGAAATAGAAGCTACAGCTGACAATTTAGTAGTGGCATCAATTAAAAGCTTATTACGAACGTCGACAATAAGGTTAAAATGTGACAAAAAATCTACGCCTATAATAGCTTTAGTTACATCAGCTACAGTAAAGCGCCACACAAAGTCTCTACGTAGGCCTAAATTAAGATTGAGCTCAACATAACCATATGTGTTTATTGGCGTACCGTTGGCTGCACACAGTTGGTAGTCCGTCTTCGCACGTCGTTGATGAAGCGCAGATCGAGGGAAGACGCATAAGTCGCTTCCAGTGTCCACCAAGAATTGAACTCGTGATCTGCGATCTGTCACGAAAAGGCGACCAGTAGTAGGGGACGGGCAATCTTCAGTCGCCATTATAGATTGCCTGTTGCGTTTCCCGATCTGTAGTCACATGGTTGAATGCACCTTTTCGCTTTGCTACCATATTTGTGATGGTACCAGCAGTTGGGGAACTTCCTGTAGTTAGACTGGGATCTTCTCGATGGCGTACGGCTTCGCCCACGTGACGTCTGTCGTTGGCGGGGGCGAGAGCGGTCGTTAAGTCTCGTAGTGAGTGCACTAACCTGTTTTGTCAGTTCCGAGATCTGCCGTGCCATAATATCTAATGTGGAGTCCACTCTGGAGCTGGATGTTGCTGCAACCAGCGGCGATGCCGGTGAGATATCGTGGACCCTGTCTGCCAGGTCAGCGAGTTCGCTGAGGGACAGGCTCATCTGGGATGCGATGATGGTCTGCAGGTTGCTTGGAAGGCGGCTCGTCCAAAGTGACCTCAAAAAATCGTCTGGTATCGTAGGGCCAGCGAGGTGTTGCAGGTGACGCAGGAACTGTGATGGCTTGCGATCACCTAACTCTTCCGACTGTAGGAGCTGCTTCACTTTCTTTTCTTTCGAAATAGAAAGACGCTTGATTAGCTCACTTTTGAGTTTCTCGTACTTCCCCGTGGCTGGAGGCGAAGTAATAATATCTTCTACCTCTACTGCATACTGCCGGTCCAAATGCGAAAGAACGTAGTGGAATTTCGTCAAGTCATCCGTAATTCTTGATATGCTAAACTGACCTTCAATTTGTGAAAACCATATCGTCGGTTTTTCCGGCCAAAACGGTGGTATTCTCACGCCAACACGAAATAAATCTGATGAATTATCGTGCGAGTCAATGGACACGCGCTCACGTTTTTTCGTTGACCGCGCCCTTCTTTGCGAATGCGTTGTGTCACTACCGTCACTGCTCATCTTTCTTAAATGTTCTGCTCGGGGTCACCAGTTATGGGTACATATGGGTACAATACAATACTTAAATAAAATTTACTATAATAAATAGAAATAGTATAATATATATGTGTGTGTGACTGTAATTGTATTATAGATAAATATAAATATAATAAATATTATAATATTAATATTAAATTATATACATACATATCTGTGAAATAATAGTCATATCTTTAAATAAAATAAATAAATGTGTGCGTCGCCACAGACGCTATTACGCGCGTGAGGGCCCTGGCGGAGGAGACAGTATCCCGGGGTGGGGTGGTGCTGGCGGTGTCCTTAGACATCTCCAACGCCTTCAACACCCTACCCTGGAGTTGTATTCGGGAGGCGCTGAATTACCATCGCGTGCCTCCCTACCTCCGCCGCACAATAGGGGCTTACCTTGAGGAGAGATGCGTTACCTATTGGGGACGTGACGGCGCTGGTCGGCGCGTCATGTCGTGCGGTGTTCCGCAGGGCTCGGTCTTGGGACCGCTCCTGTGGAACATCGGCTACGACTGGGTGCTGAGAGGTGAACTCCCGTCGGGCGCCGACTTGACGTGTTATGCGGACGACACGCTCGTCACTGCCCGGGGGAGTTCACACAGGGAAGCAGCGTTGGTTGCCACGGCTGCGGTGTCACAAGTGGTGAACCGCATCCGGCGCCTGGGCCTGGAGGTGGCCCTAAATAAGTCGGAGGCCATGGTGTTCCATGGCCCTCGACGCGCGCCGCCGCCGGGTTCACACATCGTGGTCAGCGGGGCCCGGATAGCTGTCGAGTCCACCATGAAGTATCTGGGATTGGTGCTCGACAGCCGATGGGAATTCGGACCCCACTTCCGGCGGCTGGCGCCCAAGCTGATGGGTGCAGCGGGCGCGCTATCAACGTTGCTTCCCAACTTGGGGGGCCCGAGCGCCGCCTGTAGGCGGTTGTACGTGGGAATCGTGCGGTCCATGGCCCTGTATGGGGCCCCTGTGTGGGCGATGGACATGACGGCCAGCACTCTCGCCATTCTGCGTAAACCGCAGAGGGCGATGGCCGTCAGAGTCGCCCGCGGGTATCGCACGATTTCCTACGAGGCGGCTTGCGTCCTGGCCGGATCCCCGCCCTGGGACCTAGAGGCGAAAGTACTCGCGTCATTATATCGATGGCGCGAGGAAGAGCGGGCACGGGGCTCGAGGCCGGTGCAGCGGCAGATCGCGCTGCGCCGAGAGGAGCTCCGTCAGGTCTTGGTGGCGGAATGGCGGCAAAGGCTTCTGCGCCCTACCGCAGGCCTCGCTACCGTCGAGGCGATCCGGCCAGTACTCGACGACTGGCTCGGGAGAAGGCACGGCTCCCTGTCGTTTAGGGTGACGCAGGTGCTGTCGGGGCATGGCTGCTTCGGCAAGTACCTGCGCCGCATAGACAGGGAGCCGGACGCTCGGTGCCACCACTGCGTCCATTGCGGGGAGGACACGGCGCAACACACGCTCGCCGAGTGTGTAGCTTGGGAGGAGCAGCGCCGTGTCCTCACAAATAAAGTAGGAGGCGATCTGTCGCTGCCGGCCTTAGTGCAGAAGATGGTCGGTAGCGCAGAGTCGTGGGATGCAGTGGTGTCCTTCTGCGAGGACGTGATGTCGCAGAAGGAAACTGCGGAACGGGAAAGGGAGATCTCGACTCCCTTCCCCGGCCGCAGAAGGCGCACCGGGCGCAGGAGAAGGGCGGACAACGCCCTTTTCCGCCCCCCATAAATGGGTCCAGGGGCGAGGGACTTGGGGAAGCCCCCGCCACCCCTACTCGATGGACCCGAGGCGGAGGCGCGCGCGGGTGTAGGCGCGCGCCCCTGAGGCGATACACGGGGTAGTTTAACACCTCACTACCCCGTGCAGGAGACGAGGCCTGGACGGACCGGGCCAGCACTAGTGTGGGGCTGCGGAAGAATTTGGATTCCCGCGGCCCCACGCGCACGTGTGAGGAGACACCGGGGTGGTTTTAGCCGGTAAGAGTCCGGCACGCCCCTCCGCCTTTCCCCAGGCGGAGGTAGTCCATGAGGATTTCCCCCCGTAAAAAAAAAAAAAAAAAAAAAGGTAAGTCCAACTTCGACCGAGAGGTTAATCGACGGATTCAACTCGGTTGGGCAGCGTTCGGGAAATTACGGCACATCTTCTCGTCAGGTATACCTCAAAACTTGAAAACGAGACTGTACACCCAGTGCGTATTGCCAGTGATGACATACGGAACTGAGACGTGATCCTTCACTGCTGGCCGGATAAAGAAACTCAAGGTCGCTCAGCGAGCTATGGAGAGGGCTATGCTCGGAGTTTCTCTGCGTGATAAACTCAGAAATGAGTATATCCGCAGTAGAACTAGAGTGACCGACATAGCCCAACGGATTAGTAAGCTGAAGTGGCAGTGGGCCGGCCATATAGCTCGAAGAACCGACAACCGATGGGGAAGAAAGGTTCTCGAGTGGCAGCCTCGTACCGGTAGACGAAGTGTAGGGCGTCTCCCCACGAGATGGAGTGACGACCTGGTAAGACATGCAGGAAGTCGATAGATGCAGGTGGCTCAGGACCGTGCTTTGTGGCATTCTTTGGGGGAGGCCTATGTTCAGCAGTGGACTTGTGAAGGGCTGTAATGATGATGATTTTATATTTAGTGCAGACAATAAAATTCTTTGAGGTATCTAAAGTAATCTTTAAAATTTAAATTAATTATCATTTAAATTATAGTTCATATTAAAATTTTTATTCTAATATTAAAATGTTTACACTCATGAGACGGCGAACTGCAGTATTCAGAAAAATGTTATACACTCACCGGCACGGAAACTTGGCCAACGTTGAATTTAGTGACAACTTGCTTTGAAATACGTTTTCTTCAATTAATACTGCATATGTAGGCACAATAAATGTATCTGTTAAGTTTTCGGTACTTTTTCATGATTATTAAAAGATGATTTTACCAACAATTAAGTTTGTAGCGGCGGTTAATAAAACCTACACATTCTTAAGGAAAAATTTGAATTTTCAACGCTCAACTATAAAACACCATAAAATAAATAATAAGCAATTTTTTATCATTGTCTATATACGTTATTATCGCTTGTTTTCTACACTAGCTCTGATAATTGCCTCTATTCGGTCTGACATGCTCTAGATGATGTTTTAAACATCTTTGGGGCTTTTAAAGTAATCATTAAAATTAAAATTAATTATAAAGTTAATATTAAAATATTTATTCTCATGTTAAATTGTTTACGCTCGTAAGAAGGCAAACTGCAGTGTGCTGAAAAGTCTTATACTATAGCTTTATGTTACACTCTACTTATGGATTGTGGAATTGTGTATATAAAAATATAGCCTTTAAAAATCAATCAAAAGTTTGAGACTTATAAATTTTACTTTTTTTGCTCACTCAATGTTCAGAAATTGTCACCTTAAGAGGCCGGTCCTTAAGAAACGCGCAAATAGGCAGTTACGGTTTTAAAAATATTAAAGTACTGACTTCATCGAATGACACCACAAAAAATCTCAATTAGTTAATAGATGGGTCTACACTTTCACCAAGTGATATTTATAAAAAACATCTTGATTTTCGAGAAAATAAATTTTCAACAATGGTAAAAATACTTAAAACGGCCTTTACAATTTTAAATCTCTTGGCCATTTCGTTATTATTTTAGAAAATCTTTTTGGTTAAAATGTGAGATAAAAGTATGGACAATATAGTCAACATTCATTATTTTTACTAATTCAAACTAAAAGGCAACAATCGAAGCCTACAAATCATTCATTTTTTAACAGAAATCATCCATACATTTTAGTATGTAACGATTAGGTTTCCGTAATTCGGTTTATATTAGAGAACACGCGTGAAAAAAATTCAGTGCCGCCTCAATTTTCGAGGTGAGTGCACGATCGCTTGTAGCCAGATTTGACAAGTCGAGTCGATACATCTATTGTTTGACATAGCATATGGGTGGGTCGCGAGTGTCAGACAACATTATTTTTATTATTTGTTTTCTGCGAGTAATTAGACTAACT